AAATGAAATATTGCCAAGTCCTCACAAGGGTTGATGTTTTCCAGAAGAATTATTACAAGACTGCTATGAATTCCATATAGGACACATAATCAAATGTTCTGTTTAACATCATAATTGCACTGAGCACTGTGGTGTGATGTTATAGAAAGTGTGACTTCCCCCGGGTGTCTTCTGACAGAGCCAACAAAGATCTGGAGGTGTGGAGGGCTGAAAATGAAAGCAGGGTATTTACCATGACAACAGGTGTACTTCTGGTTCAGGGACTGAAAGGAGAAAAGGGCAGAAACAAGGAGAGAAAAAATCCTTGAGGGATTTGGAAAGGGGAGAGGGAGGGGGGATGGGGGGGGCCTCACTGATCTTGCAGCATTTGAGGTCAGAGGCTTATCAGTGCCATTGATAATGGTTGAACATTTGGTATTGCCCTGGGTTGAGTTCAAATTAAAGGCGTATGTCTCTTGGTAAAAGCAGCATTTTTATTATCCCTCAAAATAGCTTTGTAGTGAAGAATTTACCTTTTGCCCCTCTTTTTCCTCTTCAATGAGAAGTAATCTCATGTAAGGCTGTGGTAAGCAACATAGAGCTGTGGGTTAGGTGCACCTTTGCCAGGCTGCATAAGACTAGACCTTGCACCTTCCAAGAGTCTGAACCTGTCTGGTCCACTGGTGAGTGCCATGTCAGCCATGGGAAGGGGCTACCTTCCCCTTAGGTAACCACCTCTGATGGCACTTTTTCAAATTATCTTGGTATTCAGCAAAATATCATTCTCCTGCTGATCCTATCTACCTAATTGCATTTTTGAAATATGCTTTCTGGTTGACCATTTGGATGACCCAATTCTTTTTTCTCTAAAGAAGACCACCAGGTGGGTCAACAGCGCTTTGTTCTCTGAGCCATACATGAATATTTTAGAAGGGCACTAAAATTTGCTCATAGCACATTGGTTTTGCTATAAAATGGTTATTAAAATTGTTAAAATTCTTGATAATTTCTTTTAGCTGCTTATTCTTTCTGGCAGGTCCTTAAGAGGAAGGGAAGGGGGGAAAATATGAAACAGAAAATAGCAAGTTAAAATTAATCAAATAATATTTCTGCCAAGTTTATGGCAACAAAGTGTTACTATAGAATGCTTTGTCTTAGCAGTCATGCTGAAGAATTCCTCTGCACACAAAGCATGGTTCAACTTCTCCTTATTAGATCATTGTTATGAGGCATCCAATTATTTATTCTCTGGAGAGCTCCTGGTATTTGCAAAATTACTTTTAATGTGTTAAATATGAATACTTTGAATTAAGCTCTTTTAAAATAGCCCTTCGAGGGACTGCTGCAAGATCATCAATTAAAGAAGAAATAAGGGTTAACCATACCTATTCCACCTCCTCTTTGGCTGCTACCTGTGTTAGCTCCCCGAGTGGTTCTTGGCCTCAGTTTGCCATTCAGTTCTCTGAAGTGCAGCTGAGATGTGTCAGTGCAGTGGATGCATGAGGGGTGGGTGGTATGTTCTCATGTCTGGTGTAGCTGGGCTTTAAATTCCAGCAGAGTGGGAGTCTCTTAGGAAAAACGTTTCTGAGGAAAACAGGACAGACACATATTTCACTTTCCCATTAGGGTTGTGTTATTCAGAGATAACTTTGCTAGTTGTTCACCTGTATCTCCCTACTCAGCCACCACTAACAGGTCTCCCACAAAAAATGGTTCTGGGAGGTTCAACTTTAAATTCATGTCCTGCTCCATATTTACTGGTTGGTGACAGAAGAGACAGCTGACTCCCTGCCAAAGGGACCCATCACGTAACCCAAAAGAGCTTTAATGGGGCAATTATTTCACATTTTTGCTGGAAGAAAGGAATAAGGCTTTCTAAGCTGAAGTTCTTAGCAAGCATCCTGTCATTTTTTATGCCAAGGTTACAGAGAATAGTGGCATGTGATGCTTCAGAAACCTTTTCTTGTTCCCTTCTTTCCTAAGTCTGTGCTTAAAGGCTTGGCTTTAAGTGGTTTCTTCTTCCTTTTCTAGTCCATAGAGGCTAGGCTTTCAGTGGAGGTACTATATAGGGAAAAGGCTACAAGTTTTAAACAGTTTTTTCCTGTGGTTCGGGGATAATACATTTGTCCATACTGATTCTTTAGTGGTTCTTGAGGAATACTTTCATCTGAAAGCTATCCCAGGCATGTTAGGCAGCTAATCATTGCTGTGGATTTTTGCTGCGGATAATACAGAGGTCCAACATGCTTAACAACTTATAGCAATTAAGATTCAATTTGAAATTAGTAAAAGGTATGGTTTTCTGTCCATGTGGTGAGGTTGCACTTAAAATATTTGATACAGCTTTATAAACTATTTATGGACTGGGTATTTTATATAGAGTTTTGATGGTAATCTTTTCAGCAGCAAAATTGTGTTATAAAAAAGCATGAATTAGTTTTTCTATGAAGTGCATATCTAGGCCTATGTTAATTTAAACTTCAAGTGTGATTTTTAAAACTGACCCCCTAAAACTTTTTATTTACCCTGGCATGACTTGTTTCAATTTAGCTTAAATCAGCAAGCAATTAAATCCAAATATGAGGATGCACAGAGAGAGTTATATAGACCTAAATGAGCTTTTAACATGCTTTAAAATTACTTTGAGTGACTACCCTATATAAAATCTTGTAACCTGAGTGATGTATTAAATTAAAACTAAATCAAAGGTTAGTGCATGAGAGCAGTCATGTGCTCAGTCTCAAGGAGTGAAGGGTTTACAAACAGATTTCTCTCAGGGAAGAAAAGCAATTGACACCCAATTAGTTAAAGCATATTCCTAAAGCTCAATGACTTGAGAGCAAATTACAGTTGTCATTGTGGATTTGTGAAGTGTGCTGAACCATGATGCATACCTTCAGAGGGAAGTTGCTCAGACATGAAAGTATAAAACAAGCAGAGCACGTACAAGTTCTCCACGTTTCTATAATATCTGAGCTTCAATAAAACAAATTTGTAAAGTAACATGAGGTCAATTGTATACACTTTTATGGATTCTTGCTGCTTGTTAAAAACCTGTCAATGACTCCCTGAGCTTTGAACTGAAGCACAGTACAACAGTTCCCTTCCTCCCTGCCATTTGTAGGCCCTCAGTTTTGTAGCTGTAAGCTATCACAGATGGCAGTCTGTGCCTGAGCAAAACCACATGAGAAAGAGTTTTGCTACATGGCTAAGAGTTGGACATGTTGCTCTCAGTTTCTGAGCAGGGCTTTTCCTCCTTAGAGTGCGAGATCATAGAATCATAGAATTTTAGGGGTTGGAATGGACCTTACAGATCATCTAGTCACAGCCTTCCCCTGCCATGGGCAGGGACACCTCCCCACTAGACCTGGATGCTCAAGGTCTTATCCAGCCTGGCTTTGAACAGTGCCAGGGTTTGGGCAGCCACCACTTCCTGGGCAACCTGTGCCAGTGTCTCACCACCCTTACAGTAAAAAACGTTTTCCTAATATCTAACCTAAACTTCCCCTCCTTTAGTTTGAACCCATTACCCCTTGTCCTATCATTGCAGTTCCTAATAAAGAATCCCTCTCCCTCTCCCTTGTAGGGCCCTTCAGGTATTGATCAGAGCTGTGTGATGGTGATCAGGGAAACCCTTATCAGCAAGGGAAGTTTTCTAAGTTCTTTGCTCTTTCTATCTCTGCATGTACTTCATATGGAATAGCCCCAAGCCTGGACTTTATTATCCATCAATTTTTTTAGCAAAATTATGCAAGAAGAGGAGGAGAATAGCTGTCACAAAACTACGTGAGACTGGGAAATAAGCTTCTTGCTTATTTGACTCATTTAAGAAAAGTTGTGTTTCAATATGGGTGAAGCAGCACAGTTATACATTAGAAAAGTTACACATTAGAAAAGGCCTCCCTATTCACTATTCACAGCCTCCCTAAGCTCTTGATCTGGTATGCTTTAGCAAGTGCAGGATCCCTTGTAGCAGTGCCCCAGCCTAATGCCCCAGCCATGTGCTTGGACCTGACATCCCATCTGTGTGTGGAGTGCCCATGGCAGCTGCCCTGGACCACTGTGCTGCCTGTATGCACTGCAGCTACGGCGCGAGGGCTGCGGCACGTCTGCAGGCATGGGGAGGGTCAGTGGGCACTGCTCCCCACAGCCACCTGCTAACCCATGTCACGCGCCTTGCTCGGCCTCGCTCATCCTCTAGGT